AAAAGGATCGAGGGCTGCATTGCAAGCATAACCCATGAGTTAGAATCTGGACCTGAGGTGCCTCTAGGGTGGGAGCTACACGAAGGGCTTATGCTCTATCAAGGAAGGGTCTATGTTCCCCAGGACCCCCTTCTCTGCCATGACATAGTCCATGCCCATCACAACACTCCAATGGCTGGACACCCTGGTCGGTGGAAGACATTAGAACTCATGTCTCAGAACTACTGGTGGCCAGGGCTCTCTCGCTACATTGCCAAATATGTATCTGGATGTGACACCTGCCAACGGGTGAAATCCTTCCCTACTCAAAAGACTGGGAAGCTCATGCCAAACAAAGTCCCAGACCAATGCTGGCAGATTATCTCAGTCAACGTCATAGGAGAGCTCCCCCTATCCCGAGGGTTTGATGCAATTATTGTTGGAGGAAGCGCCCTCAGCGCATGTATTTACACATGTTTATATTACTATATACAATCCAAGAGTTAACCGCCATGTTGTCCAACCGCCGTTGACCTGGTCCTTTCAACAGGTTATGAGCCCAGGCGGCTCGCCTGGACACCTGAGGTATCAATCAAATCCGCCTGACTCTCGCGGTACCCCGGCCTGTTTTCCTTAGCCATCTGAGAAAGTCCTCAGGCTTGAGGCAGGAATCTGCGATAAGTCCCGCTGGGCCCGCATCTATTTGGAAAGCCCTCAGTTTGAGGCAAGAATTTGCGATAAGTCCCACTGGGCACGCGCTTATTGTGAAAGTCCTCGAGTTTGAGGCAAGAATTTGCGATAAGTCCCGCTGGGCATGCACTTATTGAGAAAGCCCTCGGGTTTGAGGCAGGGATTTTGTGATAAGTCCTGCTGGGCACACATTAATCAAGAAAGTCCTCAGGCTTGAGGCAGGAACCTGCGATAAGTCCCGCTGGGCCCGCGTCGATTTTGGAAAGTCCTATTTATTAGGCACCGGTAATCTCAAAGCCCATGGGACATGGCACTTTATTGCTGTAAGCCCTTAGACAGGCATGCAATTTTTACCTCACATTTTCCTCACCCCCTCCTTGCCACGTCATCACCTCTCTTTAATTTTTCTCACGCCTCATCGCACCACTGTTATTCAGAGGGTGAAAAATTTACACTCCTTCCTCATTCAATCATCATGCCAGCCACCACCCCATTCGACAAACTAAGTGACGACAATTATACAGCCTGGTCCCAGTACATGAAGGCTGACTTAGTCCGGAAGAAACTCTGGGGCTATGTTTCTGGAGATATACCCCGACCACTTGGAAGTGCGCATCACAGGACTGTTCAGGCCTGGCAAGAAAAGCACGATATTGCCGCAGCTGAGATTCTACTCAATGTCTCTCCGAAATATATCGGTCATTGTGATGACACTGATGCACCTGGAACCTGGAACAAACTCAGAACAATATTCCGCACAGAGGGCAGTAGTTCTATTGCTGCACTCCGTTATCAATTCAATTCTATGCGCTACAACGGGACCACAATGCGAGAATGGATTACCAAAGTTGAAGATGCCGCGCGTCATCTTGAAGATGTCAAGTCCCCCATGATCCCAATTGACATCATCAACATCCTAATTCACAATCTCCCAGAATCATACTCCCCCCTAATCGTCGTCGTTGATACTCTGTTGGATGACCCCCTCCGACCCGTGGACTCTACAACCATTCAAGATGTCATCAGGCGACTTCTAAATGAGGAAATTCGCCTCGCTAACACTACACACGATGGAGAACCCTGGGCTGCCAAAGTTGCCAAGGAAAGTAGGAACACAGACAGGTGTTATAACTGCGGGCAACCAGGACATATCAAATTCGAATGCAAACTTAGCCCATATGAAGTTCAGACATGCCGCAAGCGCAGGAACAAGTTCAAGAACATAAATGTGGATGAAGCAAAAATGGCAGAGCAAGATGAGCCTAATTATGAATCTCATGCCATTTATTAATTACATGCTCCTTCGTTTGAGAGGGTGTGTTGGAGGAAGCGCCCTCAGCGCATGTATTTACACATGTTTATATTACTATATACAATCCAAGAGTTAACCGCCATGTTGTCCAACCGCCGTTGACCTGGTCCTTTCAACAATTATGATAGTGGTTGATCGCCTGTCGAAGAGAATGCATGCCATACCCACCACCACTCAGATGGACTCTGCAGGTGTAGCCCACCTCTTCCTTGAACATGTGTGGTGACACCATGGTCTCCCAGATGAGGTTATCAGTGATAGAGGAACCACTTTCATCTCCAAATTCTCTCAAGAACTAAGTAAACTCTTAGGTATCAAGCCTACTCTGTCCACCGCCTATCACCCTCAGACAGATGGGCAAACTGAACGAGTCAATCAGGAGATTGAAACATATCTTCAGATCTTTGTAAACCACCAGCAAGATGACTGGGCAGACTGGCTACATTTAGCTATAACAATCATATCCACTCAGCTACTCATCACACCCCATTCGAACTTGACACAGGCCAACACCCTCATATGGGGGTAGAACCCCCCAAGTCTACAATGGTAGAAGCAGCTGGAGACTTTGCATCATGGATGGCACAAATGCAAGAGGAGGCGAAAGCAGCCCTATGTCAGGGACCAGTCCGGGGTCGAGAGCGTCCGGGTATATCGCCCGGCGCTGAGGGCCCGGTGGGGTATGAAGTGGGCGTGTACAGCAATGGGTCCGGCGCAGGCAGATGTCCCTGAAGTGGGAATGGTGTTAAATATCATTAGAAGGAAGACTAAGCCACTTACCTGAAGTGGGAATGGTGAGAAGAAGACTGCTTCTCTGGTTCCCACCCCAGGTATGTTTATATACATGGTGCTCAGGTCACATGAGAGTTGCCATGTCGTCCCCATGCACAGCCCCAGCCACCCGGGTATCCCCATGGGGGGTCCCGAAGGGATCTGCTGCATGCTGGGTGTACCTGGGGGTCATCTGGGGCATCCGGGGCTGGGTGCGTTGTGCATGGGTCATGGGCAGGTTAGTAGTACATGTTAGAAACCACCTCCGCCTAATGCGGGCATTTAGTGTAATGGTAACACACTCTTGGTATCTATGCAGGGTTCTGCGGTTCAACTCCCAGAATGTCCATATTTTAGCATTTAGGTTCCCAAGACCACGTGTACAAATTCCAACAGTACATTGATCAAGGAAAGTCGTCTGTGTAAATAGAAATAGAAAGAATAGAGAATGAGACAAAGAAGAAATAGGAAGAGGGGGAAGTGGAGGGAGGAGGAGATAGGAAGGGGGAGAAGGGGGTAGCAGGTGGAGTGGAGCCAGGTGGAGCCGGGTGAGGCGGGTGTGCCCTGACACCCTAACACATGCAGCTGAGGAGATGTCGAAGTACTATGATAGGAAATGGGACGAAGCATGGGAATACCATGAAGGAGAGAAAGTGTGGCTCAGTGCATGTAACTACCCAACCGGTCGGCCAACCAAGAAACTAGAACACAAATGGTTAGGTCCCTTTAAAATCCTCAAGATAGTCTCACAAGCTGTGCTGAAACTCCAGCTCCCCAAGGGATACCAGATGCACCCTGTTGTGTCAGTCTCAGATGTTCGTAAGTACCAACCAGCTGAGATAGCAGGACGCCCTATGCACTCGGAACCAGGGCCCACTATCATCAATGGGGGCGAAGAGTATGAAGTGGAGAAAATCCTTGACTCCAAGCACATTCATCATCGACTCCACTACCTTGTCCAGTGGAAGGGCTACCCCAACTCTGAAAACAGCTGGATACCTGATCGTGACATTTGAAATGCCCCAGACCTCATCACAGAATTCCATCAGCAGCACCCTTCTGCTCCTGCTCCACATGCAACCTCAACCACTCCAAGACGTAGTGGCATAAGGAGGGGGTGATGTCAGGGCACAACCGGGTCTGGACTGTTTACTCATGACTGATGACACATCAACCCCAGACCGGCACTGCCCGATCACAATCCCCAGACTGACACAGACATGTAATATATTTTCTCTTGTAAAGCGGCCCTGCATTGCTGAGTACCCTGACCTTATCATTTCCTGAGTAGCAAGTGGGGAGGGTAACTTTCTTCTCTCATTCTCCCCCTTGCTGCTCAGCTGGAATCTCCATCACAACCCGCTCTATCGGGTTCCCCCATTGAAACCGACCCTCTCCCTTTCGGTCTCAGCTCCAGCAAGAGCTCCAGATTCCTTGACTTAGAGACCGAGCAGCTCAGTACTCTGACACTCTCCCACCATCATGTCTGATCCAACAAAAACTGCTGACACCAGTCATGGGCTAAGTCTACACCCATCTAATGATGCCATGGACACTGATGGGTCCATGCCACCAGTTGACTCACCTCATCAGCCATTAATGCCTGGCATTAACAAGCTAGACTCAGTACTCCTACTGATTTGCGACCTGCAGACCCAGTGCCTATTTCTGCCATGGCCAGTTGTCTCCAGTTACAGGTGAGTTTACCCAATCCCAAGCCGACTATTCATCAGATGAGCCCCAATACCTGGGGCAAAGTTATGCACCTGAAATGATGGCACCTATACAGGTGCCACCATATCCAATGTTTGCCCCAGGCATGTGGACAACACAGATCAACATGTTCATATATTGATGATAACTCAGGTGATATGACTGCAATCTCAGAAATCATACCACCCAGCTCCCATGAGGTCAACAAGCCCTTGTACTTGTCTATAAGAATGGGACAGAGTGGGTTTCCCAAAGCCCAACTCTGTAACAGCCAACAATGTTGTGTAGCTGAGCAGGATGGTTTTCCAGGCAAGGATATTTCTTTCTTTCTCAGACATCTCCCCTCATTTGCCAACCCCCAACAGGAGTATTAAGTCAGGAAGGATGCTGGAGTAGCCAGAAAGGGAGTGGGATGAGTGGAGGCTAGGATGAGGATTCCAGGATATGACATGAGGGCAGCAACTGACTGCAACTTCAAAGGTGAATTGATGGAAGCATCTTCAAGCTATAATACAGACAAGAACTGTTCAAACATGAACAATCTGTGGCCTCACACCTGCCTGTTTCCACAAATCATTAACAGCATGCCCCAACAGCAATTCAAGGGATCTACTCACCTTAAATGCAAACAAAGCTCATGAATCCTTGGTCGCTTGTCTGGTTCACGTTCAAAACAAAGGGAGAGAAGCATCCCAAAACTACTTAAAACCACCCCATCATATGGAAGTTGCCCATCAATAACAGAGGGTATTCGGATATCTTGCTCTATCCAATTAAAGGGAGGTTGATTGGTGAGGATCTGCTCTCTACGTGAGTGGAATTGCTCTGTGTCAATATTTAAAACAATCACCTCAGTTGCCGTACATCCAAATGCCCAGATATCACTCGGTTCATTCCGTTGGATGGAAATGCCGCTAAATAATTCAGGTGATGTGTATCGAAGAGTGCCACAGATGGTTGATGCCTGTGCACGTGTTGTCACAGTGTCGTTCAGAATTGAGGATAAGCCAAAATCACACAGACGTGCAATGGCATTGGCTTCCGTTGATACAACAATATTTGCCTGTGATAGTGTAGAAGACTTGTGAATAAAGATAAATCTAACTCACGGGTTTGATATCGCCGTGGATGACACGCCGGGAGTGCAAGTAGACCAATCCCTGACCAACATCGTGAACCTATGCCAGGGTTGGGTGCTTTCAAACATATCCCTGAGAGCCATCAAACTCACCAAGCCTTGACGATCCGCTTCTGGGTGTTTCGCAAGATATTCTTTGACATTCCCATCACTACACCAAGTCGATATCAAGCACACAGTCAGAGTGTCTTCGAAGGCCCTCGATGTCCAACCAATAAACTTGACCACGTTTCGGTGTTCCAGACCATGCCATATCTTTACCTCGCGCTTCAGCAACTACTCAAAGTAATAAACAAGTGATCAGTCGATCGGCCAATGGAGACACTATTGACGCACTCTAAGAAACCTTTCCCATGGACCTAACTCCACCAGATTCACTGCTGTGCTAAGCTCTTTCACGCAGACAACATCGGCAGCCTGCACACATCAAGTTTGAAAAGTCAGAAGAACCCTTCCCCAGAAGCATGGATAAAACGACATGTCAACATACAGTCCCTACATATTTCCCCATGTAGACATCCCCAAAGCTACCTCGACCCTTGCGCCGCCTATGATCGTAATCGATTTTTCCCTCAAGATTAGGTGATTGTATCTTCGCAAGCTCTGCGCAGAGCAACTTGTGCGCAGTCATTGCGTTCATCTCCTGCGTCGCATTAGGTGCATGTTGGCCCAGGGACGGCCAGTCCTGCGATTGAAGTGGTCCGTGACGGTTTATAAAGTTCATGGAAGGCATACTCAACAAATCAGTACAACCGAAGTAGATCTGTCACCTCTGTCACCTCAACATCACTTACTTGAGTGTGTGCCTGTGTTTGCGCCTGCCTCATCGGCTCCATATGACGAGCCTGAGCATGCTGCTCCGCCATCCCGCTCCTAGATAGGTCCTCCATACCCTCCAATGGCTCCACATAAGCCTTTTCGCCTGTATTATTGCTCACTTCCCCAGACCCAATTTTAGCGATAGTAAAAGCATGACGTACTCTTTCAGCTATCGCTGGGCTAGTCAATTGAAAGTGAGGTATCTGGAGAAGTGCATTGCAAAGAGGGGGCCATTCAGGTAATCTGGACTCGAAGCGAATAAGGGCTTCGATGCCAAACATGAAGAGATTGAAGCCGGGCGGGCTCCGGACTGCATCAAGAACATATCTCAATGCGATGCCGAGAGGGATGGAATCAATGAGACGGAATTGAATAATCGACCCGAAGAGATGCCCAGTCAGTACGAGCTCCTGGGCAGGATAAGACGATCGGAAGAACTTGTACTCGTCAAATAACGAATGAAGCGTACAGGCAAAAATCTCGTTTTCCCTTGGATTAGTAGAATTTTTTGACTCGCGCAGCATGTCAATGACCACACCGACGGAGATGTTACCATCATACATTCTCCGATAGATCGTCTCAACTTCAGTTTCAATCTCCGGAGAAAAAGTGACAAAGGTGAGCCCAGGCTCCCCATCAGAACCTGGGTTCAAGTTCATAAGTCTGGGATGAAGCCGGTAGCTGAGATTTTGAATATCAGTAAAGTATATTGCATCGGTCGGAGACATGTTGCTGTGAACAGATGAATTGTAAGAGCTTTGGTATGTGTTTGTTGGACGTAACCAACCTGTTACGCAGCATACAGATAAATATAGTGATAGTCTGGGGGTTGAGGGGCACGGTTTGGTGTTTAACTCCAGGGTCCTGCCGTTCAAGTTCGCTGTTGATTTTGACGTCCAAAAACTCCAGCACTGCGTGGATGAACATTTCACCATATGTAGTAGCATGATCAGACAGCCACTTGTCAAGATTGAGATACCCCCGTCGAGATGCAAGGGCAGCAACATCCAGGGCAAAGACGAAAGTGGAGACGTCCAGTAGAGAATCGAGGATCTAACAAGAAGTGAGATAATTGGCATCCGGACCTGATCATGTTTACATAGACATCGCACCTTCGAATCCTGCGCCACATCTAGTATCCGGGTGATGTTCGCCGGGCTTTCTGCATAGGAACAACTGAATGCCCAAGTCAAATACGCGGAGTCAATTTGCCAGATGCGCATGAAGACGAGCTGATGATTCGGGTGCCCAGCCAAAAACATGTTAAGCAGCTTGGTGGAATACTCTTGCTGCGTTGGGCCCCAGGGTCTCTGCTTGTGGTTCGTTAATGAGAGTACGATCCTATGCGAAGGGACGTACCGCAACTTGTAGGAGGCCCATGTAAACCAGCTCTGCACTGATCTTAACTGCGTTGTTAAGCATTTTTCCGACGTATTGAACCACATTTGGGGCATCGGAATCTCCGAGTCTCACCAAAGTTTCGATAAGATCTAAGGAGTTCCAGGTATGGCCTTGCACATTCGCAACAAGAGCTTTGATGGTGGAACTTGCTCCAGCAACATCATCGACAGTGACAATACGCCTTCCAGGCAAACTGACTAAATTGAATGTATCATTTGGGAGTGAAAGGAGAGCATCAAGGAGGCGAAGCTGGTAAAGAGTGTTTCTCCAAGCCTTCCAAAATGCGCAAATGGAATGCGTGGCACTGTCCCTAGGAGTGTTTCGGAAGATTGCAGCGAGAAGCTTCAAAGTGGCAGTATCGATTCTCGGCCGTCCTGGGTGGTCAAAGGCATATAAAAGAACGTTACACCAGTCTATGGAGCCCGACTACTCAAGTTGTAAATGCCAGTGTTACCGAACAATGCATTTGACACCCACCATGCTGCAAATCGCCATTATGAGAGATGCAACATCACACAATGGTGTGCCTTCAGCAGAATAACGGGCCAGTGTCGACAAGATTTGAACTACCTGATTTTCATGAGGAGGAGATGACGCTGACAATCCAAAACGCTGTAGAAGCGCCAACACAGTGTCAGGATCACTTGTCAGTCCTGGACCTAGTTGACAAAGTGCCTCTACGAGTGAGGTACCGGGCGAAAGGCTGGATGAAGCATTAGGGAGAACAAGAGAACACCTCGATGGAGAGGGGAACGACGAACCTTAACTTTGGAAAGATGCTTCGTAGGATGGGCCCTATTGTTTCCTGGCCGAATTTCACCTGCGCTGCCGAAATGAGCTTGACTCGCTGTACGGGGTCCAATATGGGACTGTCAGGGGGTGGATCGCTCAGCAAATGACTCAACAGCCTGGCAAGTTGCTGAGGAGTCAAATCATCCGCGGAGCCCGAAGCGCTGGACGTAACAGATGATCCCGGAACAGGCTCAAAACTGGGGCGGGCTACCAATGCCCGAGCAGCATCTTCGAGGTTAACACGAACCATCAGGGCAGCTTGGGCAGTAAGTTCTCGACGATTGCTGCCGCTCACGACGGAACTCGCCAAGATGAGCTGCTCAAGTGGCTTAAGTTCTACCCGCTCTACGAAACGCGCCAGGTCAAAATGCCGAAAAATATCCCCTTCGCCAGTGTTCACTGCATCATGGAAACAGTCCGCAAGGAATGGGTCCCTTGCTAGCCTCTGGGTTTCTTGAACGAGGAGACGGAATGTGAGTGCGGATGAAGTGTCATATTGCTGTGAGGTACTGCTGGAGGATGACTGAAGTCGAGAGGCTGACGCTACTATAAGTCGTCGAATGAAATAGAGATATGCCTCTACCCCATGCTGCTCGCAAAGTGATCGTATTTCAGCCTGATTGCTATGGACCAGTAAGGGTACATGATTTCGGGTAAGGATTAGTTCAATCAGGTCATTCAATGAGGAGGATGCGCAAGGTGGAAACCCGCCTTCCATATCTATCTTCGCTAAGAGTAGAGAGGAGATAGACGATCTTGACAATAATTAACCCATAACTTTCCCTTGAAGAGGAGAAAGACGACATGGATTATCTTCGCAGACCGCTCACTCCCGTTCTCCCCTCCTTAAATCGATTGTTGCGACCGTCAGCCCTGCAGATTTACTCGTCTCTTTGAACGATGGCGCGGCCAGAAACCCCGTACAAGTCGTATGCCAAGGTGTGCCCGCAAAGGTTTATTCGGAAGCAAAACCAACAGGGGTTCCAGGCTCCTAAGTTGGGATTTTGTAGGTTTTCTCAAGCACCTGCTAGGGCAAGTTCGGCAGCAGCAGCAGCAGCAGCCATTTCTACCCTGAATGACTGGATTTACTCTTCTCAGAACACCGCTTAGCGGATTGGTCCCCCTTTCCCCTCCTCTTTCCCCAACGTGGCTCGCCTTCAACCCATCCTGGAGGGCTGAGGAAATGCAAACCCTTACCCCTAAGTAAACACGACCTATTCTGACTATAAACAGCCTTCGTTTCAGTCAATCATCGAGACCTTCCTTTGACCCTCAAGCACTCTTTAAAATAATCACCCAAACGCCAAACCATGTTTGCATCTTCAGTCGATCCCGGTCCGAATGTCAAAGATACCTCTCCCCCGTCTCACAGACCGCCACGGATCCTCTCCGGCTTCTCTCCTAATAAACTCATGAAACGTAGAGATTGCACCCGTCCCTCCCAGCCGGAAGTCCACCCCACTGCTCTTTCGATCAAAGTGGTCCTTTCTGGCTCCAAACCCGCGATCCATTCGTCCTCGTCCCAAGACTCTTCCAGAAATCGAAAAGTATGGCGCTATTTATACCGTCCAAAACCCAAGCAGTCGGATTCGTCGAAGTCTCGGGCGACGCTATACAGAGAATTACTCGACGAGACAGCTGCCAACACTGTTATCGCTAGTCTGAAATCACTTCCACCACCTATTCATCACCGTATCACTCCTAAGCCTGCAAGCACAACTGGGGACACTACGACTCCTTTCTCCGCTTCTCCAGTCAATCTTGTTTCTAAACCCCCTAATCCTCAGCCTGCAGCGATCACCTCGACAGCTGTGCATGCCGTTTGCCTCGAGTACAACGATGAAGATGCGAATAATAAGATCTTCTCGTTGTGGAAACCCTCAGATGACGGGGCGGCCGTCAATTCGTCATCCACTCCACCAAGCTCAGGTTCCATACTATCTTCGCTCAGTCGTATCCGTCTGGTCAATCCACTTTCGCGTGGCAGCGTCCCCACTCCTCCCATCGTCCCATTATCTCGGATAGCGATTCCCGGTTTCGGACCACGCGCTTCAGTGAAAGAATATGTCGAACCCCATATAATTTCTCCGCAATCTATACTATTCAACAATGTGGGCCTTGACGCGACGCTGATGGGAGCCATACCATCCCCTAAAACGATAGTGGATGGTATGAACGACGTATCGGCTCAACTCCTGGCAATGGGCTTGGGTGGACCGTTGGAGTCTCCGGGGGATGCGGCTCTCCAAGGATTATTGCCCAATCATAAAGGAATCTATCCTCCAACTGACAGGTTGTCGGTAATCACTTGTGAGTCCCCCCACCCAAAAGTTCCGCGATAATTGATACTCATCGAACTTCTTTTGGACAGATTGGTACGTCGATCTTTTACAGACTATTTTTTTTCTGCATGACTCAAGTCCCAATCCAGGTGGGGATATGAACTGGTGCTACCAGAGCCCACGATTCAATATTTATCAGTTGCGTTTAATGGGCGCCGGCCTGTTCCCGTGTAACTAACAACTTTCCTTTCCTTTTCACAAGCGCGCCGAATCTATTGCAAACGTCATCATCTACATCCTCACATGTCTCGCTTTCGCTGTTGGAGGTGTCCGAGAGATTTTACCGTTCATCAAGTACATCGCGCAATTTGTTGACTCGGAATGGGATTTCATCAAGTCCAAGGTGCGTCGTTTTGCGGTATATTTTCGACGCCTAACAGCCGTTTCATTAAACCCCCGTCCCTACTTTAGGATCAGGGTAAGGGGGTCGTCTGCGCTGCAACATGGGTGGTGCCTATAGCATTGGTTCCACGCCCTTGGGACTTTCCGGACCCCCCTAATCCTTCTAAGCCACCAGCGGCTTCTGCCGGCCCCTCTTCATCGAATGATCAACCCCTTCCCCCTATTCCCGATAAAACCCAAGGGCTAGTTCGTGGAACCTAGTCTATCGGTTTGGGGAATCACAAGCACCTCCTGCACTCGGTTTTAATAATACAAGCTACGCCACTTCGGCAGTTGAACACTGGAGCATGGACCGAACTAATACTCCTTATCTAACGATCGAGCCTCGCTTTTCTAATTGTCTTGATTCACGACCATTCACGAGATTCACGACCCAATTCATGCATGCCATTGCAATTATCTCCTGCCTGTTGTATCGCTTATTTTCTTTCGACGTGACCATCATCATCCTGTCGCGCCGACTGACTAGTACGATGTGGCTTCCACGCTATATATTGTTGTTTTATAACTTCCGCAGAACTACCACGCTTTCTCTTCACCAGCTTACCCACCTTATAATCACAACGATACATTGGATTGAAAGCTGACTGACAGTGGTAGATTACAAAGATCGCCGAAGCCGTACATGATGGACGTTATCACTGGGTAGTTACAATCTACCATAAATAACATCAGTAAGTCATGGTTCACACCAGCCATTAATGTTTGGAGGAAAACACCCACTCCGTCTGGTTCGATATAGTCAATGATACTGTCACCCTGAAAGCTGCTGGCCAGCTGCGGGGTGAGTTTGGCAGCAAAGCCGTCCAAAACGCCATCGTATCTGTTTGTGACTTCGCCGCCTGGAATAGATAATGAATTTCATCAGAACCGATTTGAAATCATGACGCACATACCATTGTTGTTGACTTTTTCGGCGTATTGTTCAATCTCTTCCTATGAAATCGGCGTAGTGTGAAGATCGAGTTAACGGATAGTAGATGCGTGAACCAACTTTGGTGGCAGAGTCCTTGAAGACGACGATAAATTCTGTATATGCAGAGATCGAATTTGATTCCCTCGTTCTTGAAACCGAACAACGAACACTTACTTCCAGTCTGCTCAGACATGCTGGTATTAGACAAATTAGCTTTGATGGAAGGAGATGTCGTCTTTGGTGGACGCGAGGGACTTATATGGGGTTGGAGGAGCTGCGGACAAGGAGATGCCCAACGAACGCCACAGGAGTAAATGACGCATTTCCACATGATGCCATCGGGCATTGCCTCAATTCAAATCATTACAAATCTCCAACTTCATAGCTTCCGTCCAACGTTAGTTCCGATGTGTCGTCGGTGACCTCCAATGGTTTGACCCGCAAGGATCTCTCCCTGAGGTGACAAGCGCCCAGCCGCAGCCTTATGGACATTGGGATTTAACCTCCGAGGGTTTAGCCGCCGGGTAGCCATCTCATTGCCACATCCGAGGTATTCCGACACACCTGACATTGAACCTGAAAGTCCTCAACCACCCCGCACGGATCCAGGTTTCGGCTCAGCTCAGAAGAATTCCCGGCTGACAAACGGGCAAACGCCTCACCAGCCTCCATTACTGTAGAGCAAACCCCCCGGAAGTAGCCGGAACCTCACCATTTCCAGCAAATGACATGACAACGATACGGACTTGTAATTCCTCACCGTACCGTCGCCATCAATACCGCTAATACGTTTTGATGCAAGTAATGGCTCTCTGAGTTGCATACCTGCAAGGTTTGGTTCGAGACCGACTCAAATTCGTCGTAACTTACAAATCTGTTAATTGATGATCCAAGGTTCCTCCAACTGTCAGCCGAGCCGTTCATGATCAACAAGTCATGCAGTGGCATTTCTAGAGGTTACCTGTAACGCAGACTAGAGTGAAATAATACCCAGTCTCGCGAGTGTGAACGCAAAGAGAACTGAGGGCGTCAGGAAGTAAACATCGAGCTTTTAAGCGTCGATTAAGTACTCGAATGTAACCTGAGGAGTCAGAGCCATCAGGCGACTAACAGATTGGAATAAACATACCTCAGTCTGAGTTGCACTTTAGTGTTATTACAATAGTAAGAACAATAAAGAGCAACTTGGCAAGTAGAAATGAAACCCAACATCAATCATCGGACGTCTCACCGACATAATGTAGGGTCGGGTATCCTTGTGCGGAAACCCCGAGTCAACCGTTGTTGTCTCACATCAGCCGCCCGGCCACCTTACATAAGCACTTTGACGGTGTTAAATTAAAGCTGGCCAATGCATCCCCTCCCTCGCATCTATCTGGCTAGTGGCACTGTTGTGTGAGACCTGGTGAGTTTCTAGCGTTGAGCTTGATTATCAACATCTACCCATTCTGACCCAGGTGACCGATCAGCGGTTAGGGACTCAGCGAAGCTGGCCATTGCTCATGGATACTGAGCTGGAAAGAAGCACCAAGGCGCTTATAAATTCTCTCCAGAGCCGTCTTTTGAAGCCTAATGATGAGGAGATCTCCAGGTTAGGGCGGTGAGTGATGAGAAAGTTCATGGCGGTGACTCTCCCACTGAGGAAGACTTTAGCAGCAAAATTTTTGCGCTTCCCGAAGTAATCTCCAAGAAGTATGTTGTCGAGAAAGAATTGGCTCTTCTCCAGCAGGTTTCATCTGCAGCCAGCAAGGAACTTGACAAATTGGTGATACTGGAGAAGCGACTCCAAAATCGCCAGACAGGGATAGGAAAACTGCCAGATGAAAATTTGGAATTAATATTTGCGCTTGGCGTCCGAACGAGAGAATCCTCTCTCCCAGTCTTGGTATATGCTTCAACGTGTTTTAGATGGAGAGAGGTTGCAATCGGTAAACCTAGTCTTGTGGGTATATTCTCACGCTCGTCATGTTCACTTCTTAATACTTGGTTTATAGTGGGGGACGCTCTCAAGGTTCTTCCCGGAGAAGTTGACGCAATTATTCCTGGACCGATCCCAGCAAGCGCCTCTTGCGGTTACTTTTGGCAAACATATCTGTCTCGCCGCCAACAGCCTGCACCACCATCGGATCCAGCGCTTGACACTTGCGGATCGGATCCCCGAGTTTTCAGTCTTAACCTCCTTGCAGGAGGTGTCAGTTCGTTATCCGAGCTCTACAGATGGTCTGGATGCTCTTTTTCATCTTCTCTCTGATGCTCCAATCCGCCGCTTACGATTTCAATCACGTTCAATCCCTTCATTCTCTACCGTCAATGCAATTAATCTGACTCATGTTACATTGTATGCCTATCATCCATCAATCCCAAGTGCCATCAGCGCTGCTGTCAATCTTGTATACCTCCTCGTGCAGATTGACAATCCTGAAGATGTGGTGAGTCCCGTAACCGGATTCACAGCACTGCCGTATTTGCGATCCCTCACCCTCCGAGGCGTCTCCGAGCACCACGGACTCTTCCCACAAAGCGCAGACCGGCTGGAGTACATTCAATTGGATAATTCAAAAACCCCTCCACCAGTACTCCATTCCTCCCAATTTCCCTGCTTGCGTGCTGCTGAGATCGACTCAGGCAACATCGATGTTAGCCACCTGACGGATTTCTTTTTTCATCACTCTGGGCTTGACTGTTTTTGCATCTCGGGATTGGATAGTGCCCACAACCCGCTTTGGCTGGAACGTCTGTGCGTCGACCCAGGGTCATCCTCCAATATCGTCATCAATGGCTCAGTTTTGTGTCCCTCGCTACGCTTACTGCAGCTCGAATTTCAGCTTTCAGGGATGGCTTACAAGTGGGATCATGCATTGGCGTGCTATCTTCTCCGCTTGCCCTATGTCAGGGACCTTCAGACTTCCACCCCCCTCCGCATCGAGCTTAAGGGAATAACGACAGATACTGCACCTTACACGTTCCAGTTAGCAAGGTCTAAGTCCGAGTCAAATATCGTTCTATATGAGTACCTTTCCGATTTGCCGGATCCCTTCGAACCAGATTGGCTCTGATCTTCGAGCGAGTATAACATTGCGGATGCTACCTTCCTTGATGCTAGCTTGGCCCACAAGTTCTTACTAGGGCGGCGAAGGGGTCGAAGTACTTATTATTCCAATATCTCCGTCTCACCAAACCAATTCTTGTGCGATCCAAGTTATGTTATCCTTCTACAAATGAATGAGATGTCCTGCTTGGCCTTTCATCAAGCGACATTGCCCCCGGCGTCACTGTATCCGGTTAGCTGTGATCTAGCCAGAACGCACATGGTGAAAACATGAATTCTGTATTTATCTACTGATCTTGATCACGCCAGTACGGCCGACAAAAATCGAGAATCCCAATTTTTTTTTGTTGGCCGCTGTAATTTAGTCATCACTCTGGCTTGATGTCTTCCTAAGACGATGTAACGCCAATCCCCGCTGTTAACAATGCTAGCTCTTGGGTCCTTAGAACATTGTAGTTTCCCCAATCCTAGCAATTCAGCGTTATTTTGCTTTGCCCCTTTCAGAACCTCGCGAACGGTTTCACCCAAGCTTGTCCCATAATTCGGGCCAAAATTCGTGGCTGCTTGTTGAGCACAGCCGTAGTGCGGCTTAAGATTCGTCCAATCATAAGCCAGAACCTCATCTAGAAATCCATGCCCATGCAAGCACTATTCGACACGAAACACGATTGCAGAAGCAGAAACAAATCCATGCCTTCTGTTAGAAACCGACTACTCAAATGCTCCAGGATCACATCGCAAATCAAATATCACCCCTCATGCCAACTACCATCTTTTTAACAATGGTCTCAATTATGAGGCATCGGTGGCCAAAATTATCTACTTCAGGCTGAGATAAGCTGAATGTCGAATAGATATCAAACGTTTCCTGTCCAAATGCCAAGTCAACCGGACAACACGGCACAAAAGTATTTTGGAACTGACCATGATTCTATGGTACACATGGTGCGCTAAGACTTAGACAATTGTTGTATGGTACAAGCGAGCCGTAGTTTCTGGTGGATCCAGTTTAGTTGCGATACGTGCCTGTTGACAACAAACCACACTTACGGTACTGCGATATGATTGTTGTTGCATCTAATCTAATTTGCACCAGTCAATAACAGATTCAACGCCATATTTAGACTGAAGCCAGTCATTGGCCTTTTTGAAATGCCCGTTTCCGAAGAATCCTCTATGCACGCTAAGAGGGGATGGATGCTGTCCCAAAGCTCAGGGTCAGCAAGCTTCCAAACTTGAATCCGATTATCACTGACAGCGCTGGTTAGGATGAGATGTTTTTTCTTGTCGAGCTTAGCAACACGCTTCCCAGCGGGGGCACCCCACGCCAGGAAGACGACCCCTCTTCCAATGCCGCCGTTCGTCTTCGAAAGACTAGCGCCTAGGTGATGCAGAGGCTGGATTGGAGTTCAAACACGACGAACCAAGGCCTTGCCTACCTCCATACTTATCAATGAGGCTGATAACGGTATCAGTGAATAACTCCCATCCTTTGTTAGCATGGCTGGCAGGAGCTCCTGCGCGCACGGTCAAAGACCTTCAGAGAGGAGACGATTCGACATTGAGCACTCGATAATTGTTCCATGGACTCACGAATTAATTAGCAGCACACCCTGTTGAGCCCAGCTCGTCAGATCCCTGTCAATGGGTAAGTCAGTTCGACGACTCTAAGAAAATTCGTCGATGAATACAAACCCGTGCTTCGGTGGCTCGAAACCAGGATAGTTCGAGGCTATTTCTTGGTACATCTAGGCACCACGATCCATCAACGATACATTGCAAGGACTGGAACGCGCGAAACTAACATTTCTAAGCGATGGAGGGACCTGGACGCCTTTCCTGACGGAAAAGCACAGGCCATGAGCTTGGCCAGGTCCGTGATATGGGTCTTGCCCAATGATGACGACCTTTAACTTTCCCAGCTCAGTGGCACGAGACCAGTTGTAAATGTCTTTCGCTGGACAAATCCTCAACGTCAGATCCTCCAAATATTGACCTGTTGACTTACGCGGAGGAAATATTTTAGGCGACTTTTTTGACTGATCAGATGAGCCTTCAACCCCTTCAGACCAAAGAAAGCGCTTAAGCTGAATGAAATACGGCTTCCGAATCTCGGACGTTAGGACTTTGAGCTATTATTATGAGGTATTCAGATAAAACTCGTAAACGCGAATAATATTCGAAGGCATACCCAAGTCCGCCCCATGGTCGCACACTCAAGGGAAAGTAGACGTTTTTCTTCCTGTATCGCGTCCTCACGTTAGCATAACGCATGACTACTTGAAACCCAATTTTGACGCATTTACCTCGTCGAGAGAAGTGGTGAACGTGTCCAAATTGAGAGGGATTGCATTAAAAGGCGTTACTCCCCCAATTTTGCGTGCTACGGGCTTGGGAGATACGGAGTCCGAGCTCTCAGACGTGCTAGTGACGACCGCTCCGGCATTCGTCTTTGCTTTCTTATTTGCAGACCCGAACATCTCAGTCAAAGCCATTTGGCGCTTAACAGAAGTCATCTTCGTAGTGACCTCCTCTGCCACGCTCTTCTCAGGGCGAGTGGTGGAGGTGCTTTGCGATTCTTGCGAGGACGTGACGACCGCCTGCGAACTTGGCGCGGGGTCTTCCACATAAGTCGCGTCCGCGGAGTCAAGAAGGTCCTTCGCGCTTTTGGTGGAGAATGACATGCTTTGGCAGCTGTAAATTGTTCGATATACGAATCGCAGCGTAAGTCGTCGCGTTCTGATGCTGAAGTTTGAAGGGGGGAGTTTCGAATGATTCGAATGGAAGCCAGGGAATTATAGGGACGGGACCGGCACCGTCAATTCAATTCTTCACATTCGGACTTCATTCTGAATGCAATTGTTCACTTCACATTTCCGTCCCAACTGACAAAATATGCCACCCTCAGCAGCTAGGGGAAAGAAACAAGCTTCTAACACAAAGACACAGGACGTCGCTGGGAAGAAACGAAAGGCTAAATCTGAGGACATTGTGAATACTTCTGACCCAAGCACCGGAGATGAACAAGTCTGTACCGTTCCTCGGGGTCTATGAAGTGACGTTGACCTGGAGTCGCGCAATTTCTAGGAGAGCCCTCAGCCTAAGAAATTGAAACCTGACACAGTAGCTACTTCCGGCTCTAAAGTGTTGGTGGACGCGGAAGGGCATAGCTATGTGCCAATTGGTTCGAATCGTCGCGCAACTGTTAGCGCCTTCAGAGGTGAGTTTTATCTACCGTTCCACTCAGAGTCTACGCACTGGATTCATGATTTCTCGAGGCAAAACGTATGTGCACATTCGTGAGGTAGGCGAGATTGCGTTGAATACCAGTACAGCGCGCGTGGTGTGTCTAACCGTTTTTACCTAGTTCTACACAGACGCGAGTGGAGAAGAGAAACCATCAAAGAAAGGGATAAGCCTTACAGGTCAGTCTTCCAGTGCGTCCCGCTACTGCACTGATGCGACCGTGTATTTTTGTAGTCGAAAATTGGGGCGCGCTGAAAGAAAGCACCGGGCTAATCGACGAGCTCATCGCCAACCACTCATAAGTCAGGTCTTGGTTTCTTTCTTGTCACGCCATCCCTTCTTTTTTTTGAGCATCATTGATTTACGCGTGTAACAGAGCCATGAGGGCTCTTCTATCAAGATAAGTGGACCAGATAATTCAAGTCCCAAAGCTGGTAGGTGACCAGCCTCTGGTGCATATGAGCTGTGGCATTGCGAGAGAGACAATATTGTCAGCTGCTCCCGGGCACTGTTTACTCCTTTCTGTCTCGCCGCCATCTGGGGGGTTGATCTCCCTACACCAACTCTCAGTCCGTCCTCTGAGATGGCTGATCGAAAGTCATCCTGGCGCTTACACTTAATTACCAAATTGGTAGATGCCAAATAATAATGCACAATAAAGTAGCAAACAATGCACAATAGAGCAACACCTATGACCGCAGCATTGGCACTCTATCTCCATCATCTCTTAGCCTCATGGGTCCCGTTTTTCAGTCGGTCGTAGTCCTGTTGGCTAGCGCGCTTGCATGGTTACTTTATGAGTATGTGGTGAAAGCAATCCGTTCACCACTGCGACGGCTCCCCGGACCAATTAGTCGGGGAATCTTTGCAAACCACCTCACGTTTGCGATGGAGTACGTATGTCGGGAGTGTCCCAGTGTTGTATGCAAAATCGCAAAGCTCGTTGCTCATTATCCACCCATTCATAGCCCTATCTGGTCAGCTGCTGCACAAGACCAGTGGTCCAAGCGCTTTGGCTTGAATTTGCGCATCAAGGGCTTCAATTGGGTGTGTGATCTTCATTTTTTTCCTATTGCTCTACGCTCATGGGTGGGTTCAGTTCGACAACAGACTCCTGACGCTAGACCCCCGCGCCGTGCATTACATCCTTCACAACCCTCAACTCTATGAAAAACCAACCATTTCAAGACGCTACCTAGCTCACCTTATTGGTGAAGGTATGAATTCCAAATTTAGGTTTTTTTTTTTTCTGAGATATTCCTAATGGGATTACCAGGTCTTCTCGCTACTGAAGGTTGTCATTCTTTTGTGTTATGATGATTATGTTGAAATTTATCGCGATCCAAGGTCCTCAACACAGGCAACAGGTGAATGTCGTAACATTGGTTCCTAACAGCCTTCTGACAGAATGTAAATAGCGTAAAGTGATGAATCCCGCATTCTCGCCATCGAATCTTCGTGCCCTCACCCCTGTATTCTTCACGAAGGCATTCCAAGTATGTAAAATCACACATACTGCGTTTTCCAGAGCGTTGAGAATTGCTAGCTGCGAGACAAATGGCTGTCATTGATGGAGGTCCCCCGAGATGGCTCGATTCTCAACGTGTCGCGATGGATTAGCCGTGCTACCTTCGATGTGATAGGTGTGGCAGGCATGTCCATACCATATTTTTCGTTGGATCTATGCTTAGTTCGGCATTCCGTCATAGGATTTGGCTATGAATTCAATGCTATTGAGGAAGAGAACGAGGCCGTGTATTTAGCGTACAAAGTCATGTATGTTGCACTTGTCTATCAAAGCGCCTTGGCTAACAGTTTGGCAGGTTCGATGAGACCGTGAATCAGGGCCAATCCATGTTTAACCTTGCCTCCATGTACTTTCCATTCATACGACGCGTCTTCGTACGTTGATGTGTTCCAAGCATTCCAGCCGAATATTGATTATTGCATGGGCAGCGTACAAGAGAGGTCAGGATTAATGAAGCAAGCCAAGCCACTATTGCCGAGGCTGGAAAGACACTTGTAGAGAAAAAGAAACGCGAGTTTCAAGAGGGGAACAAAGAGAGTCGTGACTTATTGTCCCTTCTTGGTGCGAACGAGCTCTCTTCTTGAGACTTGAGACTCAGACATATTCTCCTAGTTCGATCGAATCTGGCCCCAGAAACCGATCCTTCCCAAAGGATAACGGACGTCAGTATAGCGAATCAGATCAATACATTCTTATTCGCTGGGTCGGACACGACTTCGTTAGCAATATCATGGTGTATCCTTCTTCTCGCCCAACACCAGGATATCCAACAGCGACTTCGTAATGAGCTGGTGGATGAGGAGGGTGGCATGTCTGCAGACAATGAATTTGCCACAGCCGACTTCTTCGTTCAGCTAGACAAACTTCCTTATCTTGATAATGTCTGCAAGGAAATTCTTCGGTCCATCCCACCTGTCCACTCGTCCATCAGAATGGCACTTAAGGATGATATTATACCTATATCCAGTCCAATGCGCTGGGAGGACAGGAAAGGGAAGACTATCAAGGTGGAAGCGCACCCAAGTGGAATTAAGATAGCAAAAGGAGAATACATCCATATCCCTTTCGAAGGGTTGAACTTGGCTAAGCATGTTTGGGGTGAAGACGCGCATGAATTCAAGTACGTAACCCGCACTGGATCCCACACGTAACCTGATCATCTCCCAACATTACAGACCTGATCGTTGGGATCACCTTCCAGACGCAGCCCGGTCGGCGCCCGGATTATATTCAAATATCATGACTTTCGGTTATGGGCCCAGAGTTTGTGCATTCCCTCTACTAATGGATGACGTACCCATGCCCTTTTTTCCAGTCTTGTATAGGAATGCGTTTTTCGTTAATGGAGTAAGTCTGACTTACTGAAATGCGCATTGAAATGCCTTCATGACTTTCACCACAGGATGAAAACTTTCTTATTTGTACTCCTTCGATCTTTCCGATTTGACGATCCTCCCAGAGTGCGGAAAGTCAATGTGTGAGTACTGCGAGCCTGGTGTCGCCCCTTTACTAACGCCGGCCATCAGGATCGTCACACGACCATATGTGAAAGGGTCGCTGAAGGAAGGCACCCAGATGCCAATCAGGGTGACCTCGATCGGTGTTCACGGAAAGGATCCAAGCTTAACATGATATCATTAGTATATTAAATAACGTTTCTGTTTCCTTTGGGTTGAATTACTTTGGATCTATAATGGATTTCTATGCGGTAGTAAATTCGACAATCCTCTAACCTAAGCCCGCCGCTGCCGCATTTGCAGATGGAAGACCACCACGAAGTCCCCGGAACCAGTGTTTCCACCTGACCACTCTGCTAAACACTTGAGTATAGGTATCGCGCCAACATAAACACACTGTACCGGGCGACAAAATCCATTTCCCATTCTATTATTCGTAGCCCGTCATATATAAGATGGTAGGCAAACCACCTTCTGACCAAGCCAGTGAATAGCGAGATGGAGGCCCCTAAATCTCTCCAGCGAGTGAAGAAGCCACGACAATCATCACGCCAAACTGCTGAACTGCAATATCTCGCAACTATCAAAAAGACTCGGGTTGAGTCATGAGTTGTCTTGAGCTCGGCGTCCAAATTTCTATCAAGTAAGACTTAATCAGTACAAACAACAGTAAACCTAACCCAAACGGACCTCAGGAGGTCATTCATCTTGAATAGCATCAATACTGCTCGGGGGACGACTCGAAGCATTGAAAACACTGACACGAGCAATCCTTCTCTCTCAAGGACAGCACCGCGCATCCGCTCCAACTCCTCTTCAGATTGTGTTGATAACTCAAGCATACTCCTGGGTCTTGCAGATACTCCCTCCGGGGCATCCTCCCATGTGCCTTCCAGCCCCGGCCTCCCGGTTATAGAGCTTTCGAATATCGGATACTGATAAAAAGTCAGATTTCGTCCAGAAACAGCGGGACTGACGTGCTGCATACGAGATCGGGGCCTATGTTTGCAACAAGTTGTGCGTATTTCCTTCGATCTTCCTTCCCTCCTGGTGTGATTAGTGACAGCCAAAGTTTCGCATAATTTATCCGCAGTTCATCATCAACATCAAAATACTTCGGTAGGTGAGACATCAGAGAAAGATCATTCGAGTGCATCAAATGCTAGCCTCACTAATCCATGATCTAGGAGAGCAATCTCAAAATTATATGGGCTCCGAGAACGGACAGGCTTGGGCCGAATTAAGAGGTTCCCGGCATGCGGATCTAGTGATGGAAAGCATGGGACACAGCACGGCCACAATGCTGAAGCAATAGCCAACTGACCGGCATGAAAGAAACCATGAAGGTAAACCATAGTTGAAAATATCCTTGATAGTTCCTGTGAAACTTGATTTCTATCGATTTTATGGCGAGCAAGATAGTCTAAATCGTCGACCTATGAATCACTATCAGTTATCTAGGAGTCGAGTGCAACAGTTGGTCGTCCCTACGCGCGCGCCGGATATAAACTCCATCACTAGAGTTCTCTTGGTTGCAGAGAGTACCTCCGGGATGTACAGTGAGGTATGCTTTACATCAGCGAAGTTGGCCTTGACCCGGGAAGTGTTGTCAGCTTCCTGGAGAAAGTTGAGCTCCAAAGGAAGGTTCGTTCGAACCTCCTCTCCAAGCCAACTAAACTCGAATTCAGGAAATACGCGCTTTACCCATGCCAGAGCGACAGTAGTTGCGGCCATGCTAAGAGAATCGAGTTCGTGCACGGATTACCTCAACGGTTGGAGAGTGGCTCACTCGATATGTGCCCATTCTTCTAGTCGAGGGTGCTTAATGCATCATAAGTCGTCGCGGACCATTGTCACCCGATCGGGCCCACCTGGATCTTGACAGCAACTTTACGGCCAGTGTTTCGATCAATGGCAGTATGAACCTGAGCTAAAGACGCCACCCCGATGGGTTCTCGAGAGAACCATGAAAATACTTCCTCCAATTCTTGCCCGGTCTCCTCCTTGAATAAGGCGGCGACATCTTCGTATGGAGTTGGGAAGCACTAGCAATATAATACGGCATTGGCGATTATTCCGAGGGATAATGGTGAGTCACACCTGATCTTGTAGCGGTTTCATGGTAGACTGAGGAAATGCAGGTCAGCTAGGGCAACATATTTCCTGAAAGACGGGCTCTTACAGTCCATTCTATTGGTAGTAAATTAACAGAAGAAATATGCTGGCCCTGGACAATCCCATGCTGCATCAGCTTGAGAATCCCTCTGAAGAACAGAAGATGCACCAGCTTGATATAAAGTCCTTCAATGTAAGTTAGCGACCCCAGACACAGGATTGTATCACAAACTAGTACACGCCTCCGTTAATCTTGAGGGCTTCCAATATCCTCTCGGCGCTTCTCTTGTGACAACGAGATTGTGCATTCAGCTTTTCTTCCTCCGTGGCAAAGTCTGCTTGAAGAGTATGCTTGTAGTCAATTACATCACAGATAACTGCTTCCCCAATAATACTGCAACGCCGTACGGCGTGCACGAAATGCTGGAACGAATCGGAGGTCTCGAATGCCGTCCATCCTCCAAGGCCGAGAAAAGCTAAAGTCACGCTCGTCCGGGTCAACCCTCGATGCAAACGAGCGATTGTCCGTTGTGTTAGCGGACGTTGAATTGGTGACTGTGAACGAAAACTTCTTCCACGCAGTAGAAGCATGTATCCCCGCCTGCAGACGAGGAAAACATCACCCACCGGCTTCGGGATCATGGGTAGGAGACGGTCATGAAATTGTCATGAAATCTAACCGAAAGTACCCGTGATCAGATGACATAAGTAACCATCTCATCCCTCTTGTTACAATTCCCAGCCTATTTACATCCGCAGGATAATGCCATCGAGATTCCGTCCATGTATAGACCTCCACGCCGGCCTAGTTAAGCAAATAGTCGGTGGCACTCTGTCGGACTCATCGCCCGAATCACTTCGTACAAACTTTGTGGCCAAGTGAGGCGTTTATTTTATCTGGGTGAGCTTGATCTTTAATCGTGACTCTTTTCTGTCCGAACATTGACCCTCCCAATCAAGAGAGACGCCCGTTGAATTTGCATTGCTTTATAAGACTTACAGCCTTCGAGGAGGACATGTTATAAAGCTAGGCCTAGGGAACGATGACGCTGCGCGATCGGCCCTTGGCGCATGGCCGGGTAGGCGTAAATCACCTAACTTTCTATGTGCGCTTTCTTACAGAACTATACTACTGTAGATGGTTTGCAATTAGGAGGAGGTATAACCTTAGCTAACGCCCAAGAGTGGATCCAAGCCGGTGCAGCGAAAGTATATCGAAAGAAATTCCCTCTATGTTTCATCTCTGACTCTACGTAATCACAGGTTATCGTGACGTCGTACCTGTTTCCAGACGGAAAATTCTCCTTGAAGAGATTGGAAAAGTTATCGGAAAAAGTTTCGAAAGAACGGTTAGTCGTGGACGTTAGTTGTCGGAGGACGAAAGATGGTTGGACGGTCGCTATGAATAAGTGGCAAGATTTGACTGATATGCAAGTGACCAAGGGTCGGATATTGTTTTGTCCTACCACATCTACTTTTCAGCTCAGCCATCTCCATATTGTCAGAGTCACTTGATCTTCTCTCTGAGTATTGCAGGCGAGTTCTCGCCACCCCCAAATAGCATCGAATTTCTCACGCAAACACCTCTAGTGAATTCCTCGTTCACGCGGCGGACGTCGAGGGCCTGTGTCAGGGGATTGACGAGGACTTGGTAAAATGTGCGTTTTTCTCTATTGGATTTTCATCCCTCCGATGACGCGATCCTTTCTTGCATAGTTCTCGGCCAATACGCAACTATCCCGACAACGTATGCCGGAGGTGCAAAATGTGAGTACAAATCCGTCCTCCTAATCTTTTGTAGCTTGAGGATTTTTCCACATGGTTATAGCAATCCAAGACCTTGACCTGGTCGACCGACTATCAAATGGAAAAGTCGACCTGACATATGGAAGGTGCGTCTTTGGAATGTCTCTTGGTCGAAATGATTGTAAACATGTACGGTCAGCTCCCTGGATATATTTGGTGGATCCCTAGTTTCGTTCGAGGAACTGGTCACACACAGCCTGAACCCAAGTCGGACTTAGTTCATGCTTGCGATGAACCTAGTGATTCGGGTGCTCGGGGTACAATGTATATTTTACAACAATCGATATAAGAGTCATGCTTAGCAGAGCACTGAGGAAAATGGATCGGTCATCGGACGATTTTCTAAATGAGAACAATTTGCCTGACTCTGGGTCAGGCCAACCGCCAGGAAATATGACAGGGACGTCCAAAGCACCCCCCATAGTAAACAGCGCACTATGGGGCTCAGGCTCCTCCCTAAAGGAGCGATTGGGCGGCAGAGTCTCCTCCGCCTTACCGAGTCACCTTTGCGTGCTTGGTGCTATAAGACGAAATGTTGGACTAGCGATGTTGTCGCTCAGTCCGCTATGCGTGAACTGAAGAGAAGTCGTAAGGTCCAAAAATTGGTGTTTTATAGTCAGGCGCTATCAAGGCGCACTGACTTTAGTAACAACTGATCCAAAAAAGGGAAACAAAGTGAATCTTAGCGCCGCAAGACTCAACATCAACAACGTGAGTTGGCCTCAGTGTACGCTTGTATCCCAAGAAATTTAACAGGTGCAACAGTCATTCGACTGTTAGCAGCACCTTGGACAACCGATATCTAGGCCCATAGAGGGGGGTTCTCAGGACGTTTGAAGAGGGCCTAGAGGCCTCTTTTGTATGGGAACATCCTAGGATGTCCTGAGATGTCCTGACAATTCACTTTCAATTCAAATGTTCAAGCAACAACGTCCTTAATTCAAACTGAAGTCACATGTCTGTTGCAATCCACTTCTGGAGCTGTGTGCATCCTAGAAATTGCAGAATAAAGACTGTGTCGTGTTAGACTCAGACTCAGATAAGAGTTCTGTATGGTAAATACCTGTGTCGCGTTAGACTGTGACAAGAGTTATACATGAGTTATAAAGTAAAACACTGAGAAATAGTTCTCACCTCAGACTCAAATAAGAGTTCTGAGGGAGAAAAGTCTAAGAATTCCTCCCTTATATATGCAACATTCCTGTCATATCCCGGAATCCCGACCCCGCACACTCCCACCACACCACACCTTCCTAACAACTTCACCATCCCCTACACCAAGCCTCCCCACTCCCCAAGTCACCTTCCCTCCCGACTGCCTCAGCTCCGGTCTGGTTGCAGCAC